AGCATATATTTTTTAAAATAATAAAAATAGAGAGAAAAAACTGTGCCAAATAAAATCTTAGCCTATTTTGATTATAATTAATGTCTTGAATGAAACTATCTGGCCTCATCTTTCACAAATGCTGCAAAAATCAATGAAATCATGCATGATAATATTCAATTATCACTATCATATCTCGCTCTCTCTCTCCTCTAAAAATCCATGTTGGGAATTGGAAGATATGATAAGCACTAGCTAATTAATAGTCACTGCAAAACAGTTTCGAAGAGGGCTTAAATATTCAATATAAAATGTTTCAGGACCTGGAGGCTGGAGCTACATGTGGCTGTCACCTGGAGCTATGTGAGAGAGCCTATATAAATGTGTTTTATTTTATTTTAAAAGTAATTAAATTTAAGTCTCCATCATATTAATTGCTTATTTCTGACATTGCATAAACAAAAAAATAAAATAAATAATGGGGCCATAATATTTCCTTGTTTATTTCACATGAATTCTATCTCAGTAAGTTTATTTTCACTAAATTAATTTCAAATATATCAAAAATATTTAAATTCATTTTCTTTCCTATCACCAATGGCATCATTGTTAGTCACCATTGATCTTCCTCGCTCCATGCCGCTAACTGTCGATTATCGTTATTGTTCCTCATTGCCATCTACTACTATCTTCAACACCCTTTCTCTAACAACATTGTCATCAGCCATCATCATCCGCTATCTGTCGGCACATGCCATTAGTCACGGCTAGCTACTACCTCTGGTCATTCAACCCGCTTTTGTTACCAGTGAATTTTATACTATATTAATTTTATTTCAAGTCAAACATTAAATAATATCCGCATGTATTTGTAGTGTACTCAATTGGATAAATTAAAAATATTTTCAATGGCCTATAATTAATTCACACTTCATTTCTTTTTTTTCTTTTGTAAGAGTTGTTAATATATGAAATAGATATTAAATGATTGATGTATTATTACTAGTGCCCGAAGGTCCTTTTGGAGTTTGCTTGGGGAAAGAAACAAAGGACACAATTTGATGTTATAGCATTTAACTATTTTCATCAATTGAGATTCTCTACGTCATCTGACCGAACGTAGAGTTACGTTCAGCCGCCAATAACATGTCACCACGTGCTCTTACTTTTTACCGTGCGGCCCGACGACTTGACCCGGACCGGAACCCGGGAATGCTTTGTTCACGTATTGCGAGGTATTACTCAGTATTTTGCTCGGTATTGCTAGGTATTGCTTGACAATAACGAGAAATACCGCTCTGTGAAGACAAATACCGAGTTGTACCGAGTTTTTCTAGAAAATCTCAATATTTTATAGAAATACCGAGTTGTACCGAGTTTTTCTAGAAAAATTGGGTACAACTCGGTATTACTCGGTATTTGCTCGGTATTGCTCGATATTGGTTATTGCCGAGCAAAATCGACCAATACCTAGCAATATCGAGCAATACCGAGCAATACCTAGCAAAATCGAGAAATACCGAGCCATCCTGGGTCTGTTCCGGGTCTGGTTGTCGGGCCGCGCGGTAAATAGTGAGAACGCGTGGCGTGATTCTATTGGTGGCCGAACATAAAGCTACGTCCTGTGATCGGACCAAAAAAAAGTTCCTTATTTTGATTGCATCTCATGAGTTATATGGGTCTTATCATTCATTTGAAGATACCAAATAGTATATTTTTGTAAAAAAAATTATTTAATTTCTATTCGTAATTTAATTTAGAAGCTATTATAAGAGGATAACAAGGTAGATGTGCTCAAAGCATTTGTAACTTACGCTTCTTATGGGACAATTTTTTTATTTTTTGCTTTTTAAACAACATTCAACATTTATATTTGATTTTGTTTGAGACAACTTTCTTATTGTTTTCTAAAATAATTTGGTAGCATAAAAATTATTGAAATTAACAAAAATAATGACTAAAAGCTGCCCCAAATGAAGCATTTGTCTATTGCTTTTTTTCTACTTTCAAGAAATTTATGTGCTATGAAGTTATTTTTTTACAACTTTCAAAAAAGTTATTTTCATTTTTCTCAAAAACATATGTATAATCGTCCCAAATAGGAACTTTTATTTGGTGTGGTAAAAGGACGTAGAGCTACGTTCGGTCGACACTAAATCGCGCCACGTAGCAGGCACAAAATCACGTACGTATTTGTCAATTTTGCTCGGCAATAACGAGAAATACCATTATGTGAAGACAAATACCGAGCAATACCGAGCAACACCGAGTAATACCGAGCAACACCGAGTAATACCGAGCAACACCGAGCAATACCGAGTTTTTTCTAGAAAAACTCGGTATTGCTCGGTATTATTCGGTATTGGTCTTCACAGAGCGGTATTTCTAGTTATTGCCAAGCAATACCTAGCAATACCGAGCAAATACCGAGTAACTCAGTGGTGATCGAACATAGAGCTACGTCCGGTCACTGGACCTAATAATTATTCCCCAAACAGACACTTAGAGATGAGCTTACTGTGTTCAATCCAATGTGTTCCGAGATGAAAACTAGAGTTTCAAAGTCCATTTAGTGTAGTATATGGGATTATACATTATTCAGTGTAAAGTGACTTCCAAGACTTTCGAAAAATCTAATAGCGTAAAATCAATGTAATATTCAAATTTGAAAGATGATGTTATGTATAGAGGATGAATCTAGTATATGCTACATATATTAATAAAAGGCACATTAAAAATAGATAAGTGGGTGCCAAATAAGTGCGCAATATGACACTTTAAACTTCTTTTGGAATTCATTAATGTAAATATTCACAATAGTGCCAAATAAATATACACTATGGATATAGATATAAAAATTAAAATCATAAATATAATTGTTGCGTCCCGAAAAATTCGCGGCGTTAGAGAGTGATAAAGTTTAAAGTCTTAGCTTTGTACGAAGATCCAGCACACAAACAGATGAAAGGAGAGGGTATAACATTTATAAGAGACACAAGAGTTTTTACGTGGAAACCCCTGAAAAGGGGAAAAAACCACGGGGTCTGGCCCAGCCTAAATGAGTCCATTATTGTCAAAATAACCATAGTCGGCGAGTGACGGTGGTTGAAAGGACCGTAGTCGGCAGATGATAGAGGTCGAAAAGATCGTTGTATGATGACAAAGGTTGGAAGGACAATAATTGGCAATGGTCGTTGGAAGGATCGTAGTCGACGAGCGACGGAGATCGAAATAATCATAGTCAGCGGGAGACGGTGGTCGGAAGGACCGTAGCCTGCAGACGATAGAGGTCAAAAAGACCGTTGTATGACGATAAAGATTGGAAGGACAATAATTAGCAATGGTCGTTGGAAGGACCGTAGTCGGCAGGTAATTGGGGTCGGGAGGACCATATTTAGCGATGGTAATCGGAAGGGCAGTAGTCAGTGGGCGATGAAGGTCGGGAGGACCATAATGGGAGGACGACGGAGGTCAGAAAGATTGTAGTTGAATGCGACGAAGGTCGAGATGACCGTAGTCATATGACAGTGTTTAGGAGGACTGGCGGAAGTCTGGCGGTGGTCTGCGGAAGGGCGAAAGTCTGGCAGATGAGCGAAAGTCCGGTAGAGGTCGGCGGACAATCAGAAGTCCGACAGAGGTCAGCGAATTGGTGGAAGTCCGTTGTCAGTCAACGGACTAGCAGAAGTTTGTTGGAGGTCAGCGAACTGGTGGAAGTCCGATGGTGGTCGACAGACTGGTAAAAGTCCATCAGAGGTTGGGAAGAACTCCGACGATAGTCAGCAGGAACTACGACGATGGTCGGCAGGAACTCCGACGGTTGTTGGCAAGAACTCTGGCAGTGGTCGACAGGAAATCCGGCGGTTGTCGGCAGGAAATACGGCGGTGGTCGACAGGAACTCCGGCGGTCGTCGGCAGGAACTCCGGCGGTCGTCGGCAGGAACTCCGATGGTGGTCGGCAAGAACTCCGGCGATGGTCGACAAGAGAGCTCCGGCGGTGGTCGGCAGGCTCCGGCGGGCGTCG